CGCAAAAGTACTGATAATGTAACGCACACCCTGGTGTTTAACTACACGCTGCACTCTAATGCTCAAGGGGCTAGTTCTCGGCTTCTGAGAGCAAGCCAAGACTTCTGTGGGCTATTTACATTTATGTCAACGGCAAATGATGGATAGAATACAAAGACTGCGAAATACCCTAACCATCCGCGGAATGGTAACATAACACTGTTCAAAACAGACAGATTGTATCGGGAGATAATGGGATAGATTAATTGGCAAGCTCATCTCTTAAAATGCTGCATTTTAAATGAATGAGCTTAATCCCATGTTTCTATACAGAAAACAATTATTCAGAATAGAACAATAAATATAAATGTTTCAAATCAGTGAATGAACATGAAATGCGTTTCTAGATTAATGTAATGGCTTTAACTTGGAAATAAAATCGTATGTTTACTTATTCTAGACTATTTGAAGATTTAACATCTGTAATTATCTTTATTTGATGAATATAATAAAATATTATGTCCTTCAAAGAAGCCATAATAGATAAAATCACATGACTTATCGTTCATAAAAACAGTCTGTAATACAATCAAACATCAATTACAGTAAGAAATTCATTGTTTGTAAATTGTTTGACAAATAAGCAGTCATAGAAAGAATTCCATTGATGCGCCAAACGAAATTCGCTGGTGATATTATCACAATAGCTGACAAGCGAAAACTCAAAGCAATTGTGCCTGGCACTATGAATGCGATACCCCTGTGTCTCACAGATTTGGTCATGTTAAGTGAGTATATCCGGGATAAACGCTATACACTTCATACAAATTACCCCCAGATCAAAGTGCCCGGGAGTTGGGATATTGCGCCAGATAAAGAGAAGTTTATAATCTAAAAATGCCAAATTGTGTTGACACTCGTTCAAGCCGAAACATGCATAATGTGAATGCAGGTTGGAAACGACCTTAGCATATTAACATGGGCTGGTCTTTATGTGTACCACTTCTCCATATTAACATGGGCTGGTCTTTATGTGTAACACTTCTCCATATTAACATGGGCTGGTCTTTATGTGTACCACTTCTCCATATTAGCATGGGCTAGTCTTTATGTGTACCACTTCTCCATATTAACATGGGCTGGTCTTTATGTGTACCACTTCTCCATATTAACATGGGCTAGTCTTTATGTGTACCACTTCTCCATATTAGCATGGGCTAGTCTTTATGTGTACCACTTCTCCATATTAGCATGGGCTAGTCTTTATGCGTAAAACCTATCGACCAAACTATCAACAATATTACAACACGGTGTAACCATTGAAATGTATTCCACGTTTCAAATTTCGTAAACTAGGGAGTTTAAAAATAATAATGATATAGATCAAATTGATTTCTTGTGATAAATATTTGTGTAGCGTCAAAAATACATTTTCAGAAAAGCGGATTTTTTTTATGAGAAAACGTTGAATACGAACACATTTCACAATTTTCATTAGTTTCTTTTCCGAGATTTTACATCTGTACAGTTAGTGTATCTATCTCGTGTGACATTCTAAATTGTGACCCCCAATTTTAATCAGCCCCAAGACAGTTCCCTGCCTCAGCTGGAGGTGCGGAGACAGAGGGTAGATGCACAGTAAAGTTGCCCCTCTCAGGTAGAGGTGCACAGACAGGGGTCACGTAGATGCACAGTTAGTTTGACCCTCTCAGGTAGAGGTGCACAGACAGGGGTCACGTAGATGAACAGTTAGGTTGACCCTCTCAGGTAGAGGTGCACAGACAGGGGTCACGTAGATGCACAGTTAGGTTGCTCCGCTCAGGTAGAGGTGCACAGACAGGGGTCACGTAGATGCACAGTTAGGTTGCTCCGCTCAGGTAGAGGTGCACAGACAGGGGTCACGTAGATGCACAGTTAGTTTGCCCCTCTCAGATAGAGGTGCACAGACAGGGATCACGTAGATAGTCTGGTAGCTAGACGTGCGAGACTTTCCTCCGAATACCACCCTCGCGGGATCTTGTGTCTTAAAGCATTTGAAACTTATCACTCCCGTTAATTGTACCCGCCGGATACCGCAAGAGCCTGCGTGACAGCGTTCCGCGCACCGAACCACGCTATCATTTTTAGATAGTCTGGCTAATCGGGTCTGTTGAGGAGGTAATCCTCTCTTCAAGGATATCACCAAACAAATTAACTCGTGTTTAGACACTTGAACGGCACGACCAGCTTCGATTGGCGACTCGGTTGACACTCTTAGAGCCGTAAACATAGGCTGAAATGACGTGTGTCGTGCGCTGAAGGTTCGACACAGACAATAAAACAGGAGTACTTTCACTTAAAACAGTGTCACAACTCCCTTCATTGTTTAATCGTGTAATTGTATATGGGTTTTTTCTTTAAACGCAAAGGAGGGTATGTTAGAAATATCTGGCCTCTGTTATCTCGATATATGTGAATACAATTTCGTCTTTTGTAGGTAGTCAAAATGCAGTGGGTGAACTCTTGACGTGAAGGTAACTGGACTCACATTGCGTTCGGGTTCTTAGACGTACTTAACGGTGAAAAACGTGTCGATCTGAGCTTCAGGCATTTCTAAACATGACTTGGGGACACGGTGTGTACATACAGCATGTAAACTATGCACTGCAGATGTGCAAATTGCTCTCATTGGCATTATAGCCCTGAAAGCATTTTTAAATGGATGTTATCATCCTCGTGTCAACAAGTCGGAACGGATAGCATGCTTCTCGACGCCAAGGGAGGTAACTCTAAACGGAAGGGCAACAATCAAGTGTCGACAGACAGGGAACTCTGTGAAGGTTGGATCTCGTCCCCCTCCCTGCTCGCGTGTCAAGCCTGCAGATATTTTTCAACAACGGGAACAAAGGGTCGGAAATGTTGCCCGTGACGAACATGCACGTCTTGCCATTTTCGGTATACCAACATTCCAACACTTACATAAAAGTACCATCGCTGGATTCATGTATTTGGATAAAAGCCCCGTCACGTGGTATCGGTAAAACGTCCTATCAGCCTGGCTATAGAGTTTATAGCAAAATTGCAAATCGAACAGTGATCCCCCAACATTAAATATATTTTTTTCATTTTCCCTAAATTCGACTTTACGGTTGTCTTACGCGAAACTGTTAATTCGTATTTCCGCCCTTCTATGTTTTTCCCATGAAATGTTTTTTTCGGTCCTGCAAAGTGTACGTTTTTACAGCGTTTGGTATTTACCTTTAAGGAACTTCACAGGATATATTGAAATACATGGCGTGTGTATATCAATGGAGTAAGGCTCTGTGTACATCATATATCTTAACTACAATACTTCCAACAAGCCCCGTTGGGCAGGAAGTCGCACACCGTTTGATTGACGTATTGCAATCTAACACAGGTGTAGTGTAATTGACAATGTCAATGGTCAAGGGTAGCCTAGTAAATTACCTCACGTATCAAGATGTCGGACTGTCCTGGTCATCAACTGATGGCTTTCTCAGTTATCGACATATCAATCTGTCTGTTGGGCGACACTTCACCTTTCAAGGTGCTAACTTACAGGTAGGCCGGACAGGTAACACCAATCACCCCGCTGTTGACTTATCAGAGACTCTAGAGTGTCAGCGCGGGGGAAACAGCATTGAACTGTCTACGTGAAACACCTCAATAAAACAATAATCTTAAGGCCGTAATTGCCGAATCGGGTGTCTGTCTAGCGATGTGAACGCTCTGTGTGTATGTGTATGCCGGTGTTGTCTTAAACTTCAGACACCAATCTTTGGAGAGAGTAATTTATTTCCCACTCTATTGTTCACATTGCGCGAGTGCGAGTTTTTGTTTCAACAACTGAGTGCTGCCGAATGAATTTCTCAATGTCGATCCTTTGTTAGATGTTGACAAATTTAGACAAATATGCTTGTAGATACAATTGGTGTGCCCTTAAGGAATTTACTCGAACAATGAAGCTACGGCTGTTACCAATTACTTTAATAATCAGATAAAACCCGAGCGCGATTTCTACTTAGTTAAATCTGGTGACGTTCAATTCATTGTGACGTAAACACCCACTACGTGTACATTACTTGGCAGAACGAGTTCTGAAGTTATACGCCTTATCCCACTGTCTGACTTGATAAAAATCATATTTCATACACATATCACAGTGACTACGTAATCTGGCGTATTCCAGGAAAAAAGTATACTTTCATAAACTGTCATCCTCGATATATATTTTTGTACTGTTCTTTTCTAACAAAGGTATTTTTTTAGTTTTAAACTGTTAGTTATAAACTGTTAGTCGAGGTTCGGTCAGTTGTATCGGTTGACGTTGTATATTTAACAGTACAAAACAGAGTTCGTGGCGAGAACGCAATGCCCCACAGCGCTCAGAACCCCCGTCTACAACCACTGGTGAGGCATTAAACCCCTAGCTCCCCACAATAGCACGGCAAAGCTCCTATTTTTCATTCAACAGACAACGCAAATCTCGCCTAGTTCCCCTTGTATGGGTCATAAACGTGACAAAACGAGATTCTCGCTGAAGCACGCTCTAAAGTCTCAACCTCATGTTTCTCTACTTTCCCACAATAATGAGTTGCATTTGTAATTTCTCTTGTGTACAATGGAGAACATTTGTTAAATATATCTGTTGCCCTTGGTGTTCGTCAGATCGGAACAACACATCCATATGTCATTAATGTTTTCAAGGAACAAGGCATTGATTAAAAAATACAGTTGGGAAAAAACCCTCACTTGAGCCCCCAAAACTCTCTCATGTTGAAACATCTACTTCACTGGTTAATGTTTCATGCATATTCATGTTATCCAGCCCTCCTATGATGGCTACACGTGTCCATGTCTGGCAGCCAACCAAAGGTTAAAGGCCATGGTGCTATTATCTTTTGCTATTAATCTTGTTTCAAGTGTTTATGATCTCTTTCTAAAAGCCTAAAACTAAGATATATAACATTTTCGTGAAGATATTCTTCTACCAAACTGCGCACGCGCAAATATCTACTTACCCTTCTTCCGGCCTCGTTGTTATGGAGATTCATGAGTGCACGTGCTGGGTTTTTCTGCTTACGTTTCTTGCCCTTCTCTCTTGCGTCCACGAAAGCTTTAGAGAAAGCCGTTCCATAGGCAATATTATGAGAACACCCTGACCACTCAAACCCATCCGGGCTTCTACCCCTCACTGTCCGGTCACATCCACATTTCTGCAACTGACCACTACTGCATGCACGTGTCACGGCGTGCGCCACCCCGGCCGACGATATTGCGTGTACAAATGCTGCTTCCCTTGTGCCTGAAGTATAAAATTAGGTTTTCAATTCAAAAGACATTCAAAGACATTTCAAGGGAAATCTGTAAAAATGAATTATTCAAAATATGATAATGTCAAGCCAGAAAATGTTCATTAAAAAACACACTAAAATTAAAATTTCGTAAACGTTGCTTCCAATTAGTAACTGCGATGTGTTTGGCGAAACATTTTAAATTTCTATATAAAAGAAAACAAACATAAATACATTATTTACTGAAACAATGTGTCACTTGCATTCTAAAGGAAACGTCGCGACAATAAAACTAGGGCATTACCCTTCTTTGGTTTTCCATGCAGTGAGCAAGAAAATGGGCGGTAGTCTTGGAAGCCTAATTGATAATTCAAGGTCATGCAAGTTGGGAGTTATCTACTTAATGAACCCTACTGATACGTGAATCACCTTAATTCAATTATTAGTCGTGTAAATCCTCCGGTGTTTGAAAATGTCGTCTGTTTAAGACCATCTGACTACAATGTCTATACGATACGTCATTCTACACCAGCCTTGTTAGATCCCGCCATGCAACTCAACGGTCATGATACTATGTAATCTGAAAACTCTCGTTTTCTCTGAATTATGCTAACCACACAAAACGGGCAGTTACAGTTTACAGCAATCGTAATACCGTCTTAAATGACACCGAAACTAACACAGGTGCACGTGCCATAAATTGGTGGAAATAAATTGTTAAGTAGGTCTTATTTTATTGTTTAATCCTGTTAATTCTGGATCCGGAAGTGATGGGCTATCGCAACAGTGCAATTTTTCAATGACAACAGCTCTTTTGCTGTCGGCGTTATCGTTAATATCAGACGGGAGCCTACTCGGAATTTGTGTAGAACCAATCCATGTCGGTTCTCATTTGAAAGAGGTTTTCCTAGATTAGCAGTAACGAGGAAAAGCAAGGCGGGGACAAGCATTCCTTCCTTCGCCATTTTTATTGCTTGCTTAAGATGGAAAATAGTTTACATTTCTCACTTTAGTTTTGTATTAATTGCTTCTAAACTACATGAATAAGTCAACCAATTGTCCATTTATGCATCGACAGACATTAAGTCTATGACACCAGCCAGATAGCATCAGATCCGTTTGAAATTAGGCCGTAACACTTATCCGAATTTCATAGATAGCTCACAACATCGTGAGATTGTAGCGCAGCCTATTTAACAAGGTCCCGCTTCTATCTGATACTGGATAATTGCGCTGCACGGAGCAGGGCAGGCACAAAGAGACGCTAGCCCTGTTTTAATCATGTGAATCCCTCCCAATCAGGCACTACAATAAGCAACACTAGAAAAATCGATAGTTAGCCATAACCTAGTGTTATTATATGATAATCAAACGTTCGTATGCCACCCGTCAAAGTAACTTTAGTTTCTAATTGACACATATGTTTCGATTTATCTCTCTTAATAACTATCAACAAACAGACACGATTGTCGTGTCATATCATGCATCATATACTTCCATTGTTGAATGAATAATGTAATTTTGTTACATTACCTTGTTTTAAAATAACATTCCCAAAGAGTCTTTTAGAGTCTGTTGTTGAGCAGTTCCAGCGTCGGTTTTGAAACTGAAACTGGCATTCTTCTATGGCGCGCTTTGCTCCAACTTTTACACTTTCCATAAGTTCAACATTTCGTTTGCAAAGTTTCTTTTGTCTTTTTACTAGTCCAGCTAAAGAGTCACAACTTTCTTCATTCTGTATTGTTGTTGTCGAAGACATCAGGGCACTGAAAAGGAAGTCAAATCGTTATCGTATGTTCAATCATGACGTCATTCTCGATGACGTGAGACAGGGTCATTATGACGTCACCATATTGGAAGAGACATCACCGTATCAGATATGAGACGTATTGTGCCGGTACGATTTGCCTGAATAAGTTGTGTATATCCAAATTCACATCCTTGTAGCATGTAGTTTATCGTCCTATTCATGACAAGATGATGATGAGGAGAAGGATGCAGATGATGCAGATGTGACTCGATCAATGCTCCAAGAGAAAATTAACCGTTAAGAATTGTGCACATGAATCAACACAGACTAGACAATTAGGTTCATTACGCTCCCACTCGGGACACACCTAGACGTCAAAGTGATTCTATTAAACACACGTTCATTTCGACAAACAAAGCGATATACGGAGATACCAGGAAGTTATTTAACACACACGGCTCTTTTCCGTTTAACAGACTCAGAAATACAGGCATCAGGGCTCGCTGCCTCTGTTCGCTGTTATTCGGTCTAGCCGAGCCCTTTGATGTGAGTTTCGTCCCACTTCCAGTTCCATCGCTCGTATAACAGAAAGCATATGATAGGCGTTTAGCAGAGGAAGAAATACAGTGGAGATTGTATCTGCAGTTTGCGGATCAGTTTCAAAGATGTACATTCCCATTATATGTACATTGCTGTCAGTTAGGACAGGTACATGTACATAGCGGCGGAAAATGGGTCTGGCTGCAGTCGATAAGCATTGCGTGACATGGTTTTCTCTTAATTATAGATCACAATAAATGGTACAGACATAGTCTGTTTTACCACGTGTGAGACGGGGTGTGTAGATTAGCGTGTGCAGCCTAGGAATCGTCAATATCACTTACAATATTGGCATGTTTGGGGGTTTGCTATCAATTATGATGACTGATAAAGGCTACACGGGTGTTTTAAAGTCGAACGGTTTTGCAACGTGAATAAATCACATATAGACAACGAACACATCAATCAACTCTGTCAATTCTTATTCATTGTACTCTTCAATACACGTGCGACAAATGCTATTACTTAGATACAGCAGATGACGTCTACAAGAACAGATAATTCTCGGGCCAACTCCAGGCGTAAAAGGATCCGCACACTTTGATATACAAACATTTAAGAGGGTAAGGAGGGGGTCCATCTCAGCAACATGTCTTCCATTCATGCCACACTACCCTCAAGCAAACGCCCTCCAATCGCTCGAGGCCCTGCGTTATATAGTGCCTGTTCTATCTACTCGACTGTCTTGCAAAGTGGATATCAGTGCTCTCGACACGGCCATTATAATCCAAACCTACTTAACCCAAGCTTTCAGCCTCAAACACCCTCCAACCATTGCCCAACCCAAAACAAAGGAGCACTGCGCATGACTAATTTATGGGAACATTATCGATGCTGTATCCGACATTGCATCTGCATCTTACTTCTCGAGTCGATGAAATGCTTCTTTCTCAAAAGTTTCCCTATAACTGTATACAGATATTCAAATTTATGCTATAAGAAGACAAACTTTTATGGATAAAGCTTGAAGGTTTTAACTCACGGCAAAGGAGAGGCAGGCGTGATTATTTTACAGCGAGCGAATGATAACACCTCATAATGGATGGTGTAGTTGACAAATTTGTAAATCGTATTTGCATGAACGTATATATGTTTATGAAAAATAGATAACTCTGGAAATACAGTCAAATTTGTTGCTGTGTATTAACGCCATAAATGAATCTTTTGATGAGAAGATTACATTAGTGTACAGTCTGGGCCAAACTGCCGCTAAGACAATAGTTTGTATATTGGGGATTTTCTTGGGGGATACTCTTCTTAAATCTATAACCAGTAAACACAATGTATTGGGAATAGTCATTAGATTTCAAGATTTAGGATGTATGATTGTGGATTATAAGGATACATATTTCACATAAACAAAACGACAATTTGGATTATTTTATCTATAACCCTTTGTCCTCAAGATCCAAATGTAACACGTTTCAAACTGTCACTCATAATTTCTAGCAGATAATCCTTGAGCTAACAGTGAAACCCTTTGGGCGCCCGGAGATATATGCTTAAGCATGGTAGTATAGCGTTCCTGGGATGGACGTTGGGCTTTGTGTGAGGGTTCTGTCGGGTCAATTCCTAATTCGCAACAACCGTGGATAACATCTAAGCCCTCATATCACAAACAGCGACACCGACCAGTACCAGAATGCTTTGTCATGAGTTGGAGAATATCTTAAACATTCTGAACATGCGTCGTCGCTGACTAAACTATCTTTATTTCGCGGTATTGCACGCTTTGGAAGCATTCTTGCATTATCATGCGTCGCGGGAATGATTAAAGACTGTGTCCCCTTGAATCCCATAATTCCGGGTGTGTAACGCGATTGTTGTCAATGTAACCGCAAACTATTTGCCTTAGTTTCGTACAAATCGCCTTAGACGGTAAACATTTCACCATTTCTGTGGAAACATTCATTGGACCAAAATATATAGGAAAATTAGTCCATATCGATGTATCATTTTAATTATTATTCCCGTTTCTACGCAACTGACTTAAGTCTGTGTTGACCAACGTATGATATTTACTTGTTCGCGGCGCAACAACATACTTAACATTCTTCTAATTTTGGAAATAATTTCACGTCCTCCGAAATTTTCTACACATGAGTTAGTTAACACCGAGCGTAATAATAAGCGAAATGCTTTAGTGTCAGCGCCAGTGACTCTTAACCCTGTCGAGAAGGAGCTCTGCCACCGAGAAGCTAGTAAACACCTCCGCCAGAATTTGACTTGATGGGAGTCGTGTGGCTATTTCCATGTGTAGGTCAGCGACTAGCATGTTATCGTAAATTTCACTTGTACCTTTCCTCACGTTTTCTAAGGTGGAACAGGGCCATGAAATCGACAACAGGCACAGAAGCTCGCGAGCAAGAAGAGAAAGCACTTCGAGTAAAACTTGAGAAGAAGAGTACATGTATATACACTATGTACTTTTATTGTGAGAAACTAAAGAGTATTTTATATGTAATATATATTTTTAAAATATTTTTTCGGTTGGACAGAACAGACCGTTGCATTGTCTACAAAGAACATTGTCCTGATTAACACGAAATATACAATGAATGAAAATAATGAAAACATGGTCTCGTTCTTGCAAACTATCTCTTTCGTTTCAAAATATATTTCCTTAAGGTATGTCATATTGTTTACGATATATTTCTCAACAATAGATATGTAGTCGCCTCAAGTGCCTATCAACCATAAACGATGTCATCACTTGCATGTTAATTACAGTGAATGGTAGACACTTGAGGGAAGTATGTTAACACTTGTCCTGTTTACGTAATTCTATTAACACGCGTGTAATAATGTACATGTACACAAAGACAGACTGCACACAGCAATAACCATAAACAAACCATTTCCCCAATACAGCAAGACGTCAAGTATGTAGAATATGTCAATTTCTTACGTATGTGTGAATTATCGGGAATGCGAGAGACAGCTAAGTTGCAATCGTGTTTATTGCAAAATGGTTATGTGACATTTGTAGACCACTTAGTATCTTGGGAAAATAACGAGTGTGATAGTACAGGTACCGCTCTCGGGCCTTTATGAAATAGATGGGTTAAATTGACACGGTCCGTCTGTTGTCTGTGTGATGTAATGTGATATCGATGTCGATGTGAAGATGTACTTGTCAGATAAATGTCAATTAACATATTTCCCTTACCTGTGTACATTAAGAATCGCACTTCAAAGTGTGGTGAAAGTATTAGGCAATGCACTTATGTCTAATTGAACATATATATATATGGAATGGGGGTAACTCGTGCCTCAAGTATACCTGAAACGTGTACCCTCCCAACCTTTAAAGTTTATTATACATTTTTTTTCAATTAAGTTGTTTGAATTTATTGAATCGTTTTCAAAAGGCGCATACATACGTGTCTCAGTTACATTGTCATTTATTTAAACCGGATCCGCTTACTATAAAATAGAAAATGGAATAACGACGGAAAACGAACAGGTCAAATAACGATTATGGATTGGTCTGGAATTATCCGGAGAGGTCGTTGTCGTAAGATGGGGGTGGTCTTCACGTTCCGGCTGTGGGAAGAGTAAATAGCAAGATAAAACGGATCAGACACTTTGAGCTCTGTTTGGCGGATAGTCGTTTTCCCAACTCCCAGTGTCTGTCGAGGTTTAGTTAAAGGGGGCATTGTGGCTTTATTTGTTCGAGGATTTCAACTTAATAATCTTGTATTAATACAGGAATAGGCACGATAAACTACATCAATATGCACTTGATAACCTTCCGTGTGTGTACTGCTGAGAACGTGCTTGACACAAATGGTGAAAATCCCCTTCAGAAATGCAAAATATGCGGAGAAATACATTTTGCAAAAATTCTTCTTTAAAAAGATTCAACGCAAGGTTTGCATTGGTTCGTAATAAATAAATACATAAATAATATATTAAATCAAAATATTTAAATGTGATGAAAGTCGTACATAAGTACATCTGAACTAAATACATTGGGTTCTTGGGTTTAATACTTTCCCCCCTTTCGATGCTAATTACCTGGCGTTTGCCAATGTCGGCGCAGGGAGCAACAAACAGTAAGATCAACCTCCTTATATGGAAATTGTAAATTGAATAATAACGAGACAAAACTGAAAATTAGTTATCCATTTGCTGAAGAAGTATGGTGCCTTTTAATTAGAGCGCGCACGTGTGTTCGGGTTGGAAACCGAATTTCCACATCAGTAAAAGACAAGCTTGAAAGAGTTAGCAGCGTCGGATATAGACTTGACAGACAATGAAACAGACATGTTGTATATATCAAGCAACGATGTACATTTCGGCGATGTGTTCCAACTTCCTCTGGAGTGTCTTCAGTTCGTTAGCTTTGTTAGATTGCAGTGGAAACAGTATTTGCGTGTTGGTTGATGAGTGTTCTCCTATTTATCATGACAGTGTTTCCTGACCTAGAGTAAACGAAGTTTAAACTGACATTTTAGGCCAAATTCCCGTGTCAATAACTATCCACGTGATTAATCATAGTGGGTGTCTTTTAGACAGGTTTTGACATTTGCGTGATCAAAATAAGATTTAGTGGAAATGAATGAAACCAACTTGTATTCACGTTTTCTTCCTGAAATGTTTACAAACCTTTCATAACGTCCTTTCCTCTTCCCCCAAACCCCACCCAAACCCGCCCCTGCCCACACAAGATGAGACATTACAGGAATTCTTCCCACCCCCATTACTCTAGACACCCACCCCTACCTAATTTAGCCCCTTCCTCTGACAATTCGACGTGATTCACTCAAAGTGAAATAGATTACAGCACGTGACTCTCACGACTAATTGATGTGAATAGCACATGCCACTCATCCTCAAGATCGCCATGACTTCGACGTGTTGTGTCTGCACCCTGAATTAAATTATTTCGACTATCTGAAGCGGCCCCAAAAACATTTCTTGATAGATCAAAAGTAAATAAAGATCGTTGCCCAATGTCATTAGATCAAAGACGTGGATGAAACAAATAAGTGTGATCCGAGGGATATGCACGCGAAACAGCCACTGACACGATCATGCTAACAACTATTTTTGCTGTATGTGTTGATTGACGTTTCCTGTACAAACTTATAAATAATACAAAAACGAGAGGCACTTATCCGAAGCGAATCTTGTATCTAACCTTTTTGGAATTAGATGTTGAATTTCTAAGAGCAGCTGCTAAAATAAGATAACTTTGGTCAATAAATGCAGTTGTGTGTCTAAAATGAGTGTAAGTTTCATTTATAGACCCCAGTGACCAGGAACTGCTCATACACACAACAATTCCACAAATATTCCAACATTTTTCAGACCTGCTTGGTACTGTATTTACTCACCAAACACCCCACACCTTCACACACGAAGATTATCGATTCCCATGCATGTGATACACTAACAACCTTATCACTAATTGAGACATAGAATTGATTTCGTCTTAAACAACGTGTCATTTAAGCAATATAAGTCTCCAGCCCACTGGAAGGAATGCGATGTAATAGACACTCAATCTTGTGTAAATCTCCTTCTTGTCATGCAGACAAATTAACTGTCATACGGTGTAGTTTTTATGAATACTCTATCTTGACTCGAAAACGAAAAGGTGCGTTAATCCTTTGAGCTGTCATAACTCTATAGCAAGCAGACAATCCGCCGACTATTGAACTTGTGTAGACTGCTAGCAACTAGGTCTAATCACCCAGTTGGTGATGGAATAACTCATTCCTCGCCTAATGTGTTCACGTGTTGTCTAATTAGGAGTTGCTAGTGTTCTGTTAAGTAGTTGATGTCGAATGAATGAATGAATGAATGAATGAATGAATGAATGAATGAATGAATGAATGAATGAATGAATGAATGAATGAATGAATGAATGAATGATAAAAATTTCTCCTTGTCTATGTCGGCTGAAATGTGCACCCCGTCATCTGATGTGACAGGTCTACATGCGATTAAGCATATTACATCCAAGAGAGGATGATAACATCAACTCTTTGACATGCGCTGCACATAAAACCAGTTCCGACTACAAGCGGCGGAGTCAAATTACGCTCACCCCCTTTCAGTTCCTCCCCTTTGTTTATTTATGGCTGTGTCACGTTTGATAACCCAAGACGATAAACCTTACTTTTTCTTACTTTTAAAAAAGTATATCTTTTCAACAAGTTTACACCTCTACTACGCTGAGAGTTTAATCTCGGGGTTGTGATTAATGTTTCTCGGGATAGTTTCACGATATGTCGTGGATGTACATGCTGATTTAGTGTGGGTTTTATATTCTGCTGGTCGATTTCACTTTATGACATGGACAAGCTGACATATACATGTGTCAATTTCATGAAATATGCTCTTTGATCGCATGTATACTTCATAGGGTCATGGACCACCATTTTAGGATCTTTTTAAAATGTCAAAACTACGTGCGTACTTTTTCCAACTTTTGAGTGTATGATAAAGGTTATCAAGATATAACATTAATTTTAATGGATCACGAGATGTGTGTATGCAGGGATGGTTGATATCATTATCTAATGTGTTTATAGATAGGCACGCAGTAAATGGCTTCAATATTTGCAAGTTTCACGATCACTTTCGACGTCGGTTGCTATTTCAGATATACACATCACTGTGTTTAGATCGTGGTAATGCATTTGGTTCAGAACAGACGAAGGATGAAATTATTTTGGAACGGTTTGTAACATATATTTTAGAAATACGAAAATGTTTACATGATAAAATCTACAGATGTATAATATATAGCTCGTTAAAGATAAACAAAAGCAATGCAACACGCACCTGTACGGCATGTGTTCATAAAAAAATCGAAATAAATACCATTAAAACCTAGAACATTTTCCTATCGGTATCACGAATCACTTAAAAACTTCATTCTTATAAACCGGTACAAGTTAACACTAATAAGTGTGGTCGCTCTTTAAAATGGATAATAAGAATAAAGGTTGACAGTGTAAAGGTTGAATATCATGTCTCAGTATTAAACAATCACAGGCAGTAAAAATTCACGTCATCATCGAATATAAGTAAAACATTGTAGATTAAAAATCAATATACTTACAGCCAGCGGACGCCCTCTGACAGTCTTATAACGATTACTATGGATATGACTCCAACAAAGAAATGAAATAGCGTGTCCTTGTTCATTGCTTGAAGCTCTCAGCCGTCTCCTAGATGTTGATTTCAGACGTCAGATGAGTGACACAAGGTGAAATTGACAAGCGATCAGCTGATAATCCGAACTTGTTGATCCTGTTTGATACATCCAACTGAAAATACACCAACTACTATTCCTCATATCTTGGCTATCACATACTATAAGAGGATGTATTAAACAATGGTAAAATCCTCCTCGCTACTTTCCGTGCTGTCAACAACTTTATCCCACGAAACTAAGCAACATAACTGCAATAGTCTCCATGAAAATATGATACTCCGTAAGAATGAACAAGTTTTTCCCCTCTGCTTAAACTGTTACCACGTGCACCGAGTGAGACCAGTGTTCTGACTAGATTTCAGCGAGCTACCCTATGTGTTGTGGCCCTCCTACTAAGCTCCGCCCCTTTCCATCGGAGGCACGCTCAGTGGTATTGCACGTGGGGTAGCGGCGCGTGCGCAAATTGTCGCGCCGTCAATCTAGCCCTATTGTCTCGGTTACAGTGGCTGGTTGTGGTGATTCCCTCAACTCTTCTTGACACTCGGGGAGGAAAAGTTGTAAGATATTTGTCCCCGTCTGTGGCACGATCCGCTTAAAGTCTAACTTCATACACGAGCTTGACAACCAGCAAAGCATGTCGTTTGTTTAAACCTTGACAGTTAGCGCTACACTATGAAGTATTATACCAAAGTCTATTGTCCGAGTTTAGCCCAAGCTGCTCGAAAGTTGAACCACACTCTTCAAACTCATTTTGTCATGACTCGGCTGTCAATACAACCCAACATAACGGAGCTAGAACACTGAGCCTAGCTGTATCACCTATGTTGAAGACTCACAACTTAAAACATAGCGATAGAAGATCGGACTTGTTCAACTTGTCCCGGTCGTAGTCTGGGAACTTGTAAACAAGACATATAATCGGAAACGTTAAGGCAATACTTTGTCCGCGTCCTATGTTAGTAGTTTATATATGTTATATATTCTCCGGTGTATCAGTGTTTTAGCGACACGCGTTGTCATTACTGTCATAAGCGACGTCAAACGTGACGATATATGAGGTCGAACTTTGAACACAGAACGTGTAGTTCAGGTAGCTATTTTCAGTATATGCAGTTGAGAATTATTATTTATTGACAGACAGACAGTTACCCATTGTCAGTGAACCAGGGTTTGTCGATAGATTAGACAGATCTAATGTCAAGGTCATATGAGGTTAACACCACTGACATTTTGGGTTAAAAATCGCTTGTGTTTTAAATTTTATTTACGATGAGAATACATGTTAATTTTTACATAACTTAAGACTCTTTTTAAATGTTCTTTTCGAGTATATAATCTCTTAAAAGAACACCGCTGTTGTAAACTATTACAACGCCGTTACCATGTCAACAACGACAAAGCTTAGAATGATGATCATGGTTATAATAAAGATCATGAGGATAAATAAACATGTCAAACATTTACAATCTGCACTTTGTTAGTGCGAGTATGTGTCTAATAACTACCTACACGGATCTTCCACAGTGAGGTCCATAGCGGTTGTTCACGAGTTAAACACGACATTCACGATGAATTATTTGACAAATTATTACAACCTGGTTTCGTTGACTCCTATATGTCGCCATATCCTACACTACAAGGAAGTGGATAATAAATATAGATCTACATACATGTTGTTGTTTTTAGAAATCAGAAATGTGTGCTCAAACTACAAACCTCGTGTATTCTATCATACCTTCTGTTACTACTTTGTATAATGTGTCAAGTGAAATCTAAATTGAAGTTTAATTTTTTCTTCTTCTTCTTGAAATGAAACATATTATCAACCTGTAACCTGCCCTGCCAGGTACAACACAATTGATAGTCCAGAGCCTCGTGTCTTCTCTCAGTAACAAAGCCAATATAATGGGCGTCTTACGGGTGCCGGGTTATGGGCATCGCCTCGTCGGGCGTGGGTTGGGGCTACACACATAGATAAATCAATGAATACCGATATTCGTTGTTTCAAGATAATTAATACGTTGTGCAACCTGTGTTGTGTATGAGTGAACAAACGAATGAACATTTAACCAGGAGTGGAGAAAGAGTTCGTTGCAAATGACAGAACATACAGACGTGTCCTATTACCACCAAGTTGGTACACGTGGGGTTCACTATGAGTGAAAGGTCGATGGATATTTACAAAATAAAATCATTTTTGCCGTGGCATATATTCCGATAATTTATGAAAATATTATCAACTGAGAGAAACTTATTATATCTTACTTTATATTAATCTATGTTCGTAACCCCTTATCTTCAGATATGCAGCCTATATGTATACACTGATATACACACTTCACATTCATGCATTAAATATGCATTATTGAGAGTTACCTTCTCCGTGTTGTATTACCACATGCAACAACAACAACAAAAACAGGTTCCGGATGTATGATTTTTCATCTCAAATTTAATGTTTACATATTCAAATCAAAATTGCATCTACAGGTAAACATCTCATAAGATAAGTTTGTATGATGTTTAAAGCAAACCTAACTAATTCGTTAACATAATATTTCAACAAATTCATGTAAAACAAGGCAAATTTTGCCTTAAACCTAATTTGTTTTCATGTTGTCAGCCAGAGGCAGGGATTAGAATTATATGGCCTATAATCCCAACATGCTCCCTGATGGATTGGGGTGTCCCCCAGCCTCATCCCACTCGCGTCAGGCACACCTCGAGGGGGCGGGGGATGCCAATATATAACATCCATCACCTCATTGCCAGTTTACATACAGCGCACGAGATGTGGCTGTTGTCGACATTGTTTGTAGCTCTTACAGCATCTTCATCATGTCTTACATCCATTGCCAAAGAGTGTTCAGAAATTATTGAAACAAAAACAGCTGTTAATAGTACATTTGTTGGTAGATGTAAACACAGCGTCAACTTCCTCTTTCTGTACTAATTTCCTTTGACAAGTTCACATTAAAGAACAAAATATGTTGTGAAATGTGCACTTATTCTGCAATGAATGATTAGGTAATATATATCAAAACTAAAATGTATGCATTTTTTATACCAATGTCTGTCTTGGTGTAGAAATGTATTTAACTATACATGGTACGTATTTCAGATATGTGACACCTACAATGACGACACTGTGGGACATATCACCAAGTCAATGTCAGACACATTTCCCCATACAAGATGGTTAATCCCAGAACCAGTTGCGGATTTATCTTGTCAGTGATCGGGGATATATGTCGTCGAACGTCCCCATATAATAAATAACGTCCACTTGTCATCAGCAGAGAACCATGAAGCATTTACATTACATGGGGAAACACGTTAATACCTGCTTCAGTTTTATGAAGCTTTGAATATATCTTTATCAATTTAAAATAATTTTTACATTAACATATTTTTTATGAACGAGTCTGCTTCTTGAACCATTTATAAAAACGAAACATTCGTTAATTCTTTGTGGGTTGCAGTCAATATTCGAAAATCGTTTAGTTGGTTTATTGTGCTTCAGTGACCATGAACTTTAATGCCAGAATACCGATGATTCATAGTAACCCAAGTGCCCTGAATTATTTCCCGCATGATGCTTTTGAAGATAATATAATTACATCAATCTCTTCACACTTGCGTTGAGTTTAGACACATAGTCAACTGACATCATATTTATCTTTGTGAAAAAAATATAAATTGGTAAGGTACAAAGCGTTTATTAATTCACCAGTCCCCCATTAATAATAATGACCACCGAGTTTTATTTAAACAGTAACATTATACCCCTGTATGACGCCGTACACAACGGAGAATATTTCACAAAATAGGAAAACACGAATCACGTTTTCAGCGAGGTCCAAAATGGCAAAAGTCATTCACAACGTGATAAACAAAAACGCTTATTGTGCAGTTATACATGGTCTCTTTAATGGATATGATGATATTACGTGGAAAATAAGCTATGTACGCATAAGAATGAAAACATATTTTAAAATAAGATATGCAGAAAATATGGTTTTGGTGATAATAATTATTGTAAGATCATATTTATGATAAAATTTAAAACTGATAACTAGAAATTTAGACGTATGAATGAAACATATAAGAAGGCAGTGAAACCGTCACACAAAACCGTACTTAGGGTTTGCTCATTCATACGGTAATCTGTGGTCGACGTTTTAACCACACTGGGGGATTATCGATGTTGACACTGCGCCGGAGCAGATAGCGGTGTCACAAATATGAAGTGCAGTAATCTAGCCCTCTCCCTCGCCCCGGAGAACACAGAGACAATACTGACATGGCTGTCATCTCGGTGCTGCGGACTCCACCGACTGCCAGGGTATGAGCTAAGATAGAAAGAAGACGAGTTGTATGTCATGATAGTAGATATGATACGTTGACAGGTGAGTTGTACTTCCTCATCAGCTGGGAGACCTGGTGAAATGTACATAGCCGAGCTGTGTAGGAGTGAAGGGAGACACTCGTAGACAAGTGTAATGTGACATTGACACTTCTAAAACTGAACTTAATATCAACGAAATAGATCTTTAAAATCTACTTCAATAAAATTTGAGATAAAACGTTTTGATCCGGGCCTGTTTGGTTTCTTCTGAGTCGCCTGGGGTATTTCTACATGTATATCAACCCACCTACTACTTGTAGTAGGTAATTATCAATAATGCATATAACGTAATGTATGAGTATGAAATGTATATCAGTGTGTACATATGGATGCACTTCTGAAGATAAGGGGTTACGAACTTAGATTAATATGTTGATATAGTTGTAACTAGCCTTCCACCTTCATGCAGAAAGATGAATGTGCGAGATAGCTGTGGATCCTAGGACACCACGGCAATGTAAGGTAGAGACGGGCACATTAACACTGAACATCAAAGGGATATGCTTCAATATGCGCCGATATCGAAGTCGGGTGGGTGCTACAGGAGTGTCTGTCCGGCTGTTTGGGAGGCCAATTTATCGAACCTGGATTGAATGAACATTGAGACATTGAACTTTGATTCCAGGTGATAACATTGCTGTGTGTTTCAATTCCTTGTATACAATATCTAGTTTGACCAGGGGGCGTTCATAAAGACGGGGTGTGTTTAGGAAAATATTATCTCAGTGAATTCATTCTTTGATGGTTAAACAGCAGCGATTCCCATACAAAGCTTTGAAGCTTGTGGCTTCCCTGCACTATTTCACGGCTCGGAGTACGCCATAAAATCTGTAGTCGCCGACACTTCTGTCTGCAATGGTATTTCATAGCTTTGGTTTGAGTATAATCGAAAAATAATGTCTCGAGGGAGCTGGTATAGTAGATACACACATGGCGACCGAAGCCTCCATGACTCGGTTGCTTATGTAAGTGGAGTTTGGTGGCTCAAAGTACACAGATTAAGGTAGTTTCTGGCTAATTACCTGCCCCTCTGAGTCACTGTATAACAGACATAGGGTGTTATTGTGTCACACATGACAAATAGAACAGCATTTCCTCATTCTCCACGCTCGTGATT